TTTCATCACCCAGTCACGATTCTGATGTTCAAATACTATTTTCAGACCTCCACACGTACAATTAGGGATTGAGTCATAGTTTAACAATTTATCAAGAAGAGTTTTGAACTTAGAAAAGTATACACTTATAGCATCATGTTTTTGGGCTAATGTTGTAATGGCCTGCTTTATCTAAAAAATTCTAGGTGCATTCTGTTGAGCAAATCACTGCTCCAACTTCAGCCATAACTGATGTACAATCTCAGCATATGTAGTGTTGCATTTGATGTCCACAGCCATGGTATTTTGAAGCCAAGTGATCACAACATCATTACATCTAAGTCAGTGCTCCATCAATGGATCATTTGGATCTTGTGGCTCACAAAGGTTCTCATCTATAAATCCTAGCTTATTTTTTTTTATCCTAAGAGCTCTCTTCATTGACCTAGCCCAAGAATGGCAGTTGTTTGCCTCCAGTATATGTGTTACTAGAATGGCTTCAGTACTATCATTGCTGCCAATGTAATAGGGACTACTGAAATGCATTGGATCATGAAATGTTGAGTTGTTATTTTGAGTTTAATTGGTGTTTGGTGGAAGATTTGAGGACTAATTGTCTGATTCCACCATTATGCTCTGATACCATGTAAATTTTGAGATAGAAGAAAATTATGAAAATAACAATGGCTGTAAATTTGTTTTTCTAATTGTATACAATTCAAATTACATTATATATACACTTCACGTAAGAGAAAGAAGAAAGAAATTCAGTTACAAAGTAAATCATTTCAGAAAGAATATTCTCTCCTATAATAGAATCCATGTGCTATACAAAATAGATATTTGAATATGCAATCCTTTAGGCTCTTCTATTGTACAATCACCAATGGGTGCTGATGTAGCTTGGATTCATGAGTCGGATGCCAGATCATTTTTCCATTGGTCAGCTTGTGCTGCTTCATCTTTCAACAAAAATGAAAACAAATTAGTAGGACTATATGAAATAGAAAAGAATGTGATGGGCTACCACACATTTTTCAATGTCAGCGTAATTTCATACTCACCAAATAGATATAAAGAAAACAAACATACATACGTACCTATGTACGTATATACACACACAATACTAGATATAAGTATTGCTTGTACTAATATGGGTGAAAATTTGAACCCTAAAATTCACCCGTCGATCATAATAGAAACTTCTCCAAGAGAAGCATGATGTTTCATAAAATGATTAAAAAAAATAGAAAATAAAAAAACGTAAAATTATAAAAAGCATAGAATTATATACGAAAAGTCGCCACCACAAAATCAAAACCCATAGATCGCAAGTTCAAATAAAATACATATACATTATGCATGTATTTGTGTGTATGTATTGATGAATGTAAATATAGGGATTGGAATTAGAAGAACGATGAATTTTGAGAAATTGTAGTGCTTGAGAAAGACAATATACGATCTCCTGAGATGCACGAGTAAGCAATAGTTCTAATTTCCTATAATTTTCTTGACTAATTGTGGAAATAGTTCTAAATATCTTACACAAATAACTTTCCCTATTGGTTTAGATTTAAGAATTACTGGTAAATAATTAGCAGACATTTCAATTCATCTAGATTCTTTGTACAATCAAGGATAACTGTTTATTAACCTAAATTGTAGTTTCAAAAGAACAAATACAGAGATTAAATTTTAAAATCGATATATACTTCACGAATTGGTCCATGACATGTAAAGAAATTGCACAACAGTTGCACAGCAGCTAGAGGTGTCAAGACGGACGGGCCGGTCATGACCCGTGAAAACCGGGACCGTGGGCCAACCCGTGACCCGTGCGGGCGGTTCACGGGCCAAAAAGTTGTGACCCGCAGGTTTCACGGGTTTA